GTGCGTGTGTGTGCGTGTGTGTGTGTGTGGGGGGGGTGTGGGTGTGTGTGATTTTCTTGATCAATTCTTCCATAGATGAATCCATAGGTTGTTTCTCTGCCTTGTCTGTTATCATTAATACTGCAGTGAACTTGGGGGTGCAGACATCTCTTTGAGATACTGATTTCATTTCTTTTGGATATGTACCCAGACGGGAGATTGCTGGATCATAAGTTTCTATTTTTAACTAGAGGAATCTCCATGCCGTTTTCCATGGTGGGGGCACCAGTTTACACTCCCACCAACACTGCAAGAGAGCCCCGGTTTCCCCACATCCTCGCCAACACTTGCCTCTTGGCGCCTCTCTTTGATAGTAGCCATTGTAACAAATGTGAGGTGATACCTCCGTGTGGTTTTGATTTGCATTTCTCTGATCAGTGTGATGTTGAGCATCTTTTCATGTACCTGTTGGCCATTTGTGTGTTTTGAGACATGTCTATTCAGGTCCTTTGCTCAATTTTAAATCGGGTTATTTGTTGGGGTTTTTGTTTGTGGTTTGCTGTTGAGTTGTAGGAGTTCTTGAAGTATTTTGAATATTAGCCCCTATCAGGTATGTGGTTTGCAAATATTTTCTCTGAGTCCGTAGGTTGCCTTTGCACTCTTGATGGTTTCCTTCGCTATGTAGCTTTTTAGTTTGATGCAGTCCCACTCGTCTGTTTTTGCTTTTGTGGCCTCTGTGTGTCCTTCTCTCTTATTTCTCTTTCCTGCCGGCCTACATCCATCACTCAACAAATATTTGAGTGGCCACTGTGTCCTAGGTTCTGTCTCGGCCGAGGGATCCTAGCAGTGACAAGACAGATGGAGGAGTCCTTGTCTCATGGAGGCTACATTCCAGTAGGGACGATGAGAATTCACTAATAAGGAAACAATGTGACATGTAATGTCGAGTGACAATAAGGGCCACAAAGAAAAGTGAAGTCCAGGGGGAGGGGTGGAGAATGACCGAGGGGCTGTTTTGAAATGAGGTGGTCCAAGAAGTCCTGTCTGAGCAGGTGAGGCTGGAGCTAGGATCTAAATGGAGGGAGGGAGGGAGGACAGGGCGATCTGGGGGGAGAGCACATAGGCCCGGGAGCTGCAAACACAGAGGCCCAGATGTGGGAACATGCGCGACTATTCTTTGGACAGAAAGAGGCTCTGGTGGGCTTGTGGAATGAGTGAGAAGGTAGGTGTTGGGGAGGTTGGCAGGTCCGGGTTGTACAGGCCTTGGGGGCCAGGCGACGGAGTTGGGATTTGATTCCTCGTGGTGGGAAGCCATTAGGGTTCAGAGTGGAGGAGCAATATGCTTTGATTTACATTTATAAAAGATGGTTCTGGCTGCTGGGAAGAAAACAGAGTTAGAGGGGCAGCATGGGGGCAGGGAGGCCAGCTGGAGAGATGGGGTGCTTAGAACCAGGGTGGAGGGCACGTAGTTTGGAGGTAGAGCTGCCAGGACTTGCTGTCTCCTAGGATCTTCTCCAGAGGGTGCCCAGAGCTTGGGGCTGGGGGATAAGGGATTGGGGACCAGAAGTGGGTTTGAACTGCCAAGGGTTGGGGACAGCCTTGTTACTCCTGGAGCTCTTAAGGGACTTGAGGGAAGGTTGTCCCAACCCCTCTCTTCCCTCCTCAGGGGCTGCCGGGAGGCCATCAAAAGGATCGCCTATGAGTTTGTTGAGATGAAGGCCAAGGAGGGCGTGGTGTACGTGGAGGTGCGCTACAGCCCACACCTGCTGGCGAACTCGAACGTGAAGCCGATCCCCTGGAACCAGGCCGAGTACGTGACCGCCGGCACGGGGTGCACTGATGAGGCTGTGGCAGGGTGGCGCCACCTGAGACCCGAGGGGCAGACTACTGGGAGGGAGGCCCTGACCCAAGCCTGCTCTGTGGCCTCAGAAAGATGGGCTGAATTCTATCATGAGTGACGTGGTTCCCAACCTCACCTGACATATTTTTACCTGGGGTGAAAGCGTTTGGCTGTCTTGTCACCCTTAGTCCTAGACACAGGCCTGCCAGTCCAGGAATATTAACATGCTCATCCAGTGACTTCCAGGGGTCCTGCTCTAGCCCTGTACCTGAAGTGAGTCTGGCCCATTCCGGCCCCCTCTCCCCATCTGGGCCCCCAGGGATCCCTAAGTGGTATCCCCCAACCACCGTGTCCTCTTCTGGCCACATGTGAACACGTGGGAATCAGACCAGGTGAGCTTAGTAGTGCTCTCCATCTGGGGGCCGGGGCTGTATCTGACCTTTCCTCCCCGCAACACACACACACACACACTGGGACATCTCCAGGTCTGGAAGTGCCCAGGCAATTCCAAGGAAAATGGAAGGGGCTCCGCTAGGGCTTAGGCCGTCTCCCTCCATCTTTCTTCAGGGGCAGTGGGTAGGGGGTGGGGGGGGGGGCTTCTCCTGGAAGATTCTTCTTCCTCCTCTTCCTCTCCCCCCCTCCCCCATCCTCTTCTTCTCCCTCCCTCCTCCATCCTAGTCCCAGGGTTATTTTTTTAGACCTTCCTTGGTCTCAAGCCCATCCCTCCTCTTCTCCCCACACAGAGGGGACCTCACCCCTGACGAGGTGGTGGCCCTCGTGAGCCAGGGCCTGCAGGAGGGAGAGCGAGACTTTGGGGTGAAGGTGCGCTCCATCCTGTGCTGCATGCGTCACGAGCCCAGTGAGTATCACCTCAGCCCTGCCCTGGGCTGGCCATGTGATGTCGGCCCCACCCTCCTGGGCCAGTGCTAGGGCTGCACCTGGCCTCCCCTGTGCCCCCACCCCCTGGCCTCCCTTGAACCCATCAGTGGGACTTGGGGGCTTCCTGAAGTCATCAGAAGAGCCTTCCTGGGCAGACTCAGAACTTCTTGGCAACAGCGATACTTCTCCCCAGGGAGACCAGGCCTTATAGCCATGTGACCTGCAGGAGGTTCAAAACCAAAGGAGCCTGAACAATAGAAAACAGTCTAAGCTAGGTTCTGATCAGCCCACGGTCCTCCCTGGAGACCCTCGGTCCTCCCTTCCAGTGGAGACCACAGGACCTGTGAGTAAGTCTGCTGTCTGGGATCTCAGGGATCAAATCTCCAGGACTGGAACTTCCAAGGTGCACAGCCCCACTGTGTGACCTTGGGCAAGTCACATCACCTCTCTGGACCTCAGATGCGCATTGTCACAGGAGTAGTGGGCACCAAAGCAAAGGGTTCATGCCAACCTATAGGACCTACCTGCAGAGTGACCTGCATGTGTTTCCTCTGGTCCTTGCAGCAGCCTGTGAGGATGATGACTGTGGTGTATCCCACCTGACAGATGAGGAAACTGAGGCAGAGAGCCATGACGCTTCTTGCTTCACAATTAGGAAGGCACAAAGCGCAGATATGAACCCAGGGCTGTCTAGTTCCAAAGCCTGTGATTGTTCATTCTTTTTTAAACTCTTTGTGATGACTTTATCCGTTAAGAGTCCACAGTATGGTAGCAATATGTTTAGTAACGTCAGTGTGAGTTACGTTTCAGATTTGAATGTTAAACTGTGGGCCTCCATCCTCATCTGCTAAGTGGGGGCGAGCCCACCCTGAGGGCTGCTGTGGGGACAAATGAGAGAACAGCCATTTGCTGTGTACTGAGCCCAGGCCCTACCTTCGGTGGTCAACAAACAGGACCTCGGCAAAGCCTCGCCATGAGCCTGTGCAGGGGCTGGTGGTGGTTCCTCTGAGAGGAGAGGACGCTCAGGCCCTGGGGGGGCGGGGGGCGCAGCTGGCTGAAGGCCATGTGGTTAGGCCGCGGCAGTCAGGATTTGAAGACAAGACACTGGACCCTCCGTCTTGTGCTGGCCTTGGGTGGGGGTGGGGTAGTTGGGATGGGACCGCAAGCAGGCGTTCCGGAGGCATCTGTCTCCCGGGTGCTGCTGCTGAGAGGCCCGGCGGGCACCTCGCCCACAGGCTGGTCCCTCGACGTGGTGGAGCTGTGTAAGAAGTACCGGCAGCAGACGGTGGTGGCCATCGACCTGGCTGGAGATGAGACCCTGGAAGGAAGCAGCCTCTTCCCGGGACACGTGGAAGCCTATCAGGTGGGTCCTGTGGGCAGGAGGCAGGGCGAGGATGGCGCTGGGTGAGTCGTGGGAGGAGCTTGTCTCCACCCATCTGAGGGAGAAGTCACACAACTAGGGAGCGTGAGGCCTCTTGGGTTCCCAAGTGTGTCTTAGTTTGGGTCTGGGGGGGCTCTAGGAATTGTGAATTTGGTTTAAAGAAGAGACCCTACTTGCTGTTCTGAGTCTGTTTGAGATTGTTTCTGCCTATGATTTGCTGTGTGACCATGGACGAGACAGTCTATTCTCTGGGCCTCTGTTTCATCTGCTGGGATGACTGTTGGAGCAAACGTCTCAGCTTCTTGAGGCACTTCCTGTGGGGGAGGGGTGAAGCACGGGGTTGTGTGGGGGCACTGGAGTCTCACTGCCCAGGTTCAGAGCTTGGTTTCCCAACCCCGTTTGACCTTGGTCGTGTTACTTAACTTACCTGAGCCTCAGTTCTACCCCTCCACGCCCTGTAAAACGGGTATTATAATAGTTGTGAATGTTCGTGTATACAAACCATTTCATACAGTGCCTGACATATGTCTAATAAATGATCGTTGTCGCTTAAGTGATGATTTAAAAATACCAGACTTCCCCCATCTTGAAGCAGCCAGCCTGACCGTGGACATGGTTCAGCCCGCTGAGATTCAGACCCAAAGTGTGGTGAAGGCAGGGCTTGCTGGGGACCTCCCCGAGGCCACCCACGACCTGTCTCTTGTCCTTTCAGGAGGCTGTGAAGAGCGGCATTCACCGCACAGTCCACGCAGGGGAAGTTGGCTCTGCAGAGGTGGTGAAAGAGGTGAGGAGGCCAGGCTGACTGTGGGAGCCTTCTCCTTGCTCCTTCCGCCACCCACACTGGCCTCCCCTCCGCATCTCTGCAGGCTGTGGACATTCTCAGGACGGAGAGGGTGGGCCATGGCTACCACACTGTGGAGGACGAGGCCCTTTACAAAAGGCTGCTACAGGAGAACATGCACTTCGAGGTGCCAGGGAGAGGGAGGACGGCGAGCTGGAAAGCCAGGGGGGGTCCCAGGAGCTGAAGGAGCAGGGTGGGTGGTGGCGGGTGGGGGCGGTGAGCCTTACAGCTGCCAGGTGATGGAGGAAGACTGGGGCTGACGGGCAGCAGGGAGGCCAATGGCCATGGCCAGAATGGTGCCGGAGCAGGTGGCTCCAGCCCCAGGGCATGGGGGTGAGCGGGGTCAGTGTGGCCTGGGGGTGTCCATGCCAGCCACACGCCTGCTCTTACAGGTCTGCCCCTGGTCCAGCTACCTCACGGGCGCCTGGAAGCCGGGCACGGAGCACGCAGTCATTCGGTGAGCTTGCTCCCCGGGGGCCCATTCCATTTTGTACTAGGAGAGCCCAGGGTAAGAAGGAAATGCAGGGACTGGGCACCGGCCATGCTGGGTGTCTTGACACAAAACCTGTCCAAACCCTTGGGAAGCAGGCGTTATTATCCTCATAGGAGGAACCCAAAGCCCAGATGTACTGTAACTTGACTGAATAGCAGAGCTGGGCACTCTGTAGCTCACTCAGCTGTAGCACTGTCCCTGCTGCCCCGAGAGAAACTTCCACATTCTGGATTCTGCCTCCCAGGCAGCAGGGAGGTGAGTGCCTCCCGCTGACCTGACGGGTCTCTGCTCCTGGCACCTCTGGGAGTTCTGAGCACCATCTTGAAGCTTACCCCTGGGGGGTCTGCCCCACCCTACCCCACAGTCTACCGAGGAGGCCCGAGCCCTTGGAGTGGCATCAGGTCTCAGTAAGGCAGAGCCAACCTTCCCTGACACAGGATGAAGATGGCAAGAGCTTGGGGTGACCGTGGGCAGGCCAGCACTGGTCTGTCTGCCAAGCTTAGGAGGGGCTTGGGGCTCTGAGGTTCTGATTTCCAGGGGGTCCCGAGGTCTGCTTTAGGAAAGGGGAGTGTGTGGTACTGGTGGGGTGTCCAGGTGGAGGTGCTTGGAGGCACATGGGTGTACAGCCAGTGGGCTGCAGAAAAATCCAAGAGTCATCTACACAGATATGGTGGTTGAAGGAGAAGCGATGGCCTCAAGAGATGGGGAGCAAGAGGACCTAGGATAGAACCCAGGAGGACTGTGCCACATTTAAGGGACAGGCAGAAGAGGCGAGACCAAGTGTGGCGTCTGAGAGATGGAGGGAAAGGGTTCCGAGACAGTCAACAGTGTCAAATTCTGCCACACAAGCTGAGTGCGGGAAGAGCTAGGACAGGTCCGTCGGATTTAACGAGACGGTGGTCGGAGGCCGTGCCAAGAACAGTTTCCATGGTGTGTCTGAAGAGCAGATTCCAGTGGGGTTGCAGATGACTGGGGACGCGTGCGGAAAACTCGCCCCGAATGTCGGCTGTGAGAGGGGAAGGCTGGAGGGGGGCATTGCTGGTGCGGTGCCCCCCAGTCCGCATTCTACCTGGCTTTCTTCTGCCTTTGCCTGGCTCTGGACCGGTTGGGTGGTTTGAGTCTGGAGTTGCTAGTTATGTGGCCCTGGGCAGGGCACCCGAGTTCTCTGGGTTTGTTTCTTCCCGTGTGCGATCTTCCGGAGGCCCAAAGGAGGGCGGGGGCCAGTGTGCTGTGACTGCTCACAGAAGCGTCAAGGGAGGCTCTCCTTCCCCACCCCCTGCCCCCCTCCACATCCAGGTTCAAAAATGACAAGGCTAACTACTCACTCAACACGGATGACCCGCTCATCTTCAAGTCTAGCCTGGACACTGATTACCAGATGACCAAACGGGACATGGGCTTTACAGAAGAGGAGTTTAAGCGACTGGTAAGTGGGTGCAGCCCTGTTGGCCTGGACCCTGGGAGTGTGTAAGGCCTGCTGGGCCTGCGGCCTCTGGGGACGAGGAGTGAGTTTGCCTCAACAGGCCAAGCCAGCCCTATAGTTAGATGCCTTCCGCGAGCGACGTCCTGACCTAGAACCAGGAATTCTATCCTTTGCTTGAGTTGAGTGCCCTTAAAGAATCTAGTGAAAGCTGTCCGCCCTCTCCCCAGGTGTGCTCAGCTATAAAATTTTGCCCTTTTCAGGCCATTTATAGATCCCAGGCTGAGTCCTTGATTTTAGGGGTTACCGGACTCCAAATCTGCCTTGCAGAGGTGTTTCTGGCCCTCCACCCCCGACCCCGTCTCTCCAAGTTCCCCGGCTTCCTTCTCACATTGCTGTATCATGGAGTGCCACCGTGAGAGGACAGGCCTCACAGCCTCTGCTCTGGCCCTTGCTGCCGTGGCCCCTGCGACAAGTCCTGCCCCCTTGGAGCTTACCGCCCATCTTGCATGAAGAGAGTGGACAGTCACTAGATTGCCAAGGGCTCCCTGGCAATCTCTGAACACTTCTCTCTGGTTCCATGTGGTCTCCCATGCTGGCCCTTCCAGAACATCAATGCAGCGAAGTCCAGTTTCCTCCCGGAAGAGGAGAAGAAGGAGCTGGTGGACCTTCTCTATAAAGCCTACTACGGGATGCCGCCTTCGGCCTCTGCAGGTATGTTCCTGTCGAAGCTTCTGGGCCACTAACCTGCCCTGGCCCCCTCCTGGCTTTCTGTGGGACTTCAAGCAAGATGCCCCACCTTCCGGTCTGGGGTAGCACCAAGGACGTGTGACAACTCCCTGGTTCCAGGGCCCTGGCTGGTGTTTGCCTGTCACTAGATGGGCTTATTTTCTGTATAATGCTGTCTTTTTTTTTTTTCTTTTTAAGATTTTTATTGGGGAATTGGAAGAGTGCTGGGGAATTGGGGGAAGGGGAACAGACAAGTTGCTGTCCTTTTGTTCTTCAGTCTAGTTGTGGAGAACGTTGCTTCACTGGCCCATGTTGGCACCATCATTGCACTCTTCCCGGGCGAGGCAGATCAGTCGCTGGCTTCTGGATGGCCGCTCATGGTGGCTGCTGGCTAAACACGGTAGCCCATGTTAACCCACTGCAGCAGGGGTTGTAGCCTACGCCGTCGCTGGCGACTCACAGCAGCCCAGCTCCAGGTTGAGCTGTTGTTCAGCATCTTAGCTGTAGAGGGCAGTGTCACTGGCCCTCATATGTGGGATCCGAACCGGGGCCCTCTGGCGTCCCAAGCCAGCTCTTAACCACTGCGCCACTCGGCCGGCCCTGTATAATGCTGTCTTGATGCTGGTCTGAGGGGTAGACTTTCTGAAGCCCAGTCCCAAAGGTCTTGGCAACTTGGGGCATCTGCATGGCTGCCTAGAGCCCAGGGCAGGGAGTTAGGCGCAGGTCTTAACTCTGTGCCGCCCCTTCCTGTGTGGGCCTGGCAAGGCAGTCCCTTGCTCTAAGCCTCAGTCTCCCCATCTGTAGAAGGGGGCTCCTCTCTGGCTCTAACGTTCTGTGATTTTTTTTTTTTACCTCCTGGGTACGGTGAGTGGCCTAACCTTTCTGCTTCTCTGACTTGGCCAGCAGGGCAGCATCCATGAAGACATCATGGCCACCTCTCCGAGTCCTCCCCCTGTAGACGGAGCCTTCACAACTCGGGGAGGTTGAACGACACTCTTACCTTTACTCCTGGGAAGACTATGGTTTCCGTAGTCAGCTGATGCTCTTGAAACCTGTGCCATTTCTGTACACATGCATATACCTCGGTCGACATGACCACATCTCTCCGCCAATGACGACCCTGGTTGGATCTGAAACCCTCCTCCTATGGTGACTTGTGCTAAAAAGCTGGTGCTCAATAAAGAAGGCTGTGGCTGGTGTGCAGCATGTGGTTTGCAGCGCTGTGGACTTGGGCGGACGACGTGGGTGGGGTGAGAACAGAAGGAGCCTCTGAGGCGCCCAGGTGCGGGCATCCTGCCCGGTGGCAGGGCCCGAGAGCCCAGCAGGGGCTGTAAATGGGTAGCCAGGGCTTCCGATGCTGAGGTCTAAGACGGGCCCCCCACAGCCTGTTCTCTCTCCCTCTAAAAGAAACGAGGCTTCCCTTGAAAAGTTGTCTGCTTCTGTGCTCCCTGAACACATAGCCCCTCATACTCTAGGTTCTAAAGGGAAAACCTTCCTTTTGAGTTCCTGGACTGTGCTGAGAGAGCAGGTGAGATGGAAGGAGGTGCCTCAGACGCCAGGCCAAGGCGGGGTGCTGGCCCCCGCGGAACCCCAGCCCCCTCTCAGGTGGCTTCTTCCCGCGAAAGCCTGGGGCAGCAACGGACCCCAGCGGCAGCAACAGACCCCAGCTTCTCGTGGACTTAGGAATACAAGGCCCAGCCCCCGCTTTTGCTGTTTAAAGGAGAAATACTTATTTTAAACCAGTCACACAAATCATCAGCATTTATTTCCTGGGTCCCAGGTGTTACTTATCTTGGTAGAAAGAAAGGGCGAAGAGTTGATCGGGTAGCTTTGAGCACAAAAACCCCTTCCCTAAAAATGGGTCCGTGAAGCTCAGTGAGGGAACCTCAGAGCTGCAGAGATGGTCAAAGGAGTTTCGCTTACAATGGCGTCCCTCCCCCCCCCAAAAAAGTGAACTGATTGTCAGCTCCTTCCCTCTCTGCTGAAAAAGGTTTAAAAGTTTAAAAGCGTTTTTTTAAAAAAGGGATCAAAAGGTCTGGCTTGACCTAGAAGTTTGGGTTTGGAAAAGGGGGCAGAGCGGGGACGTGGTTGCTGCCCAGGCCGCCCATGAGAGGAGCGTTCCTGGGTGGGCAGGGCCCAGCCCCTGAGTCCTGGTGCCCACTGAATAAATAACATCCTGTGATTACAGTGTCTTGAAAGTGTACCTGGGCACGGTGAGGAGGTGATGGGAGTGTGGAGCCTGTAGGTGTGGGCAGAGGACCTTGGCAGGGCAAGGGCCACAGTGGCCTCTGGGGGTGCCTTTCAGTCTGGCCTTGCTTGCCTGGGACACGGGGCTCAGGGAAGAGGCTGCCGGGCCAGTGCCAGGGCTCCCTGTCCAGGCGGGCACAGCAGGTGTCTCTTCCAGCCTTCTTGGGTAAGGTCAGGCTCAAGATGAGGTGGTCCCATCGTTGCTCTCAGGCTGGCTGCTAGCTTCCTTGTCTGGGGTGCCTGACTCCACCTGTCCCTCTGCAGAGGAGAGGAAGAAGAGAATATTCACAAACGTAAAACACAGAAGGTGGGCTGGGAGGGCCCAGCCAAAGTGGTAACAGTGGGTGAGCCCTGGGGCGCAGGACAGGAGCTGGAACGGGCAGTGGTGGCCAAAGGGAACTTCAGCCTGGTTGCTAACATCTTAATGCTCACAAAGAAAATGCACGCGGTGTTACTAGTGTAGCGTCAATTGAAGGCCAGGATCGTGGATGGATGCTTAACGCATTAGGCCAAGGGCTGCTGAGGGTCTGATTACTGGTGTGGGCTTTCCAGAAGGAGAGGGCAAATGGGAGGTCCCAGCATGCAACAGGTGCTCCGTGAAGGACAATAGTTCTTAGAAGACGGAAAAGGGCACCAGCCTATGCCAGCTCAGGGAAGCGCCAGGGCGTGGGCTGTGACGGTTTCACTGTGCTGTGTCCTCGCCAGACCGGCCACACCTCCTGATCTTGCCTCTATCTTTGCATCCTTAGGCTAAGTCCTTATGTGACGAAGGAGGGCCACAGCCCTGTCCCCAGCTCCGTGCAATCCACACAGCAGGAGGTGTAATTAGGGGCATGATATGGGTGAGAAACCCGAGGCTCAGGGAGGTGAACTGATCAACCTGAGATCAAGTGGTAGAGGGAGCCAGTGTTCTTTCCACGAAATTTAACTTCTGCCATAAAGCAGCATTCTTCAAGGTTTATAAGGGCCCATTGTCTTTGACACTGCCTCATTCTGCCTTTGCAGCAGTCTTGGGAAGTGGGTGTTAGGGGTACCGGGCGGTGCAGGCAGCGCTTGGTCATCTGGCTCCCCTCCAGCCCCAGGCTGCCTCCTGTCCTGGGTGGTGCCTCTGGCAAAGGGTTGGTCGGAGAAGGTCCTTCTGGCCTTTCCAGAAGCCGGACAATCTAGACTGTACTTCAGGCAAATTTCCCGGCTTGTGATGCCCTATTTGGCTCTGCGCCTCCTACCCTGGCACGCGGGAACAGTCTTGTTAGAGTCCCCAGTGATGTCTGCTCTGCCGTTTCTTGCTGTGGGATCTTGGGCAGTTCATTTAATCCCTCTGAGCCTCTGCTTCCTGATCTATAACGTGAGGATGGGTAACACCTCTGCCTGTTCATGAGGCGAATGGAGGGCCTGTGTGTGGTCATCTGACAGATGGGAAGGTCTCCGCCAATGATAACGCTTCCTCTGTGCCAGTGGCTGCTCTCTTGGTCTGGGGAGAAGGTCCTTAAGCGCTTTCTTTGCCAACCAGCACCCTTGTGACCAGTTTCAGGGTCACACACTGCGGAGCAGTGTACTCATTTCTTCATGCCTTGTCTGTTGTTTATCTCACTATAAGACCAAGTAAGGAAATGTTCGTGCGAGCACACAACATGCTTTCGGGAGTGTTAACAAACAGAACTAAGTCACAGGCTTGGGCAGCGGGGCGGAGAGGCCTCCAGGCCAGGCCCAGGCTGTGGCTCCCTCCCCCATCCTGGCTCTGCAGCAGGCTCCTGGGAAGCTTTAAGCAAACAGAGGCTGAGCCGGGCCGGCTGGATCAGAAGCTCCGGCTCGCTGTTCCTCGGTGGGTCTGCTGGACTGTGCCGGCCCACAGACCTGCCTGTGGAAACTGCACAGGGCAGAGCCTGCTGGAGGGCCCCTCGGCTGGCACTCCACCACGAGGCTCTCAGCCCTCAGGTCTCCTTGTTAAATGCCATGCACCTAGAGGACCCAGGCATTTCAGGGATTTCCAGTCGCATGGGGGAAGGGAAATGAACAGGTCTTGGAAGGGCCTGGGTCCGTGGGCAAGTGGCTGCGACTACAGGGAGATGGAAGAAAGTTCACAGAGCTGACACTATGGATACAGAAGCCCTGAGCTCGAGCCCTCTGGCAGCGCGCCCAGGCGGCAGCTGGGCGCCCTGGTCATTCAGCTGGACAGTGAACAGCTACTGACCAGCCACCTCTATCATGTTCTAAATGCCGCCAAGCGCCGAGGGCACAACACACAGCTCGTGTGCGGGAGAAGCTCGCAGCCTCAGGGAGGGGGCTGTGCTGAGTGGGATGATGGAGGGGAAGAGAAAAGACTTGCCTCCCCCTGCCTGGGAGTGGGGTGCGTTCAGAAAGGCCTCTCAGCAGAGCAGTCCGGGTCTCTAAGAATGTGGAGGAGGAGCCAGGCAAGGGGCGGGCAGGAGGAAACCGCCAGGGTGGGCAGCATGTTAAAGCCATAGGGGCTTTCGAGAAACAGACGGACTTTCCTCTGGCAAAACCAGAGGCAGCAGCGGAGAAGGCTGAGCAGCGTGAGGCCCGCGGAGGCTCATGTGCCTGGGTAAGGAGTTTGGGGCACATGACAAGGAAGAGCTGACGGAACACTCGAACAGGGGGCTCCTTGGGCAGGGTGCTGGGGGTCTCGTTCTAACTCTGTTAACTTGCTGGTGACCCTGAGCAAGCTGCCCAACTTCTCTGGGCCTGTTTGTCCAGATAAAGAACATGACAGGGTTGGATCAATGTTCCCAGAAAGTCTTCTCTGTTCTGCACTGTCCTGACCAGAAAGGACCAAGGGCTGTGGGCTGGGTGGGGCTGCACAGGAAAAAAAAAAAAAAAAGGATTGTGTTCCTCCAGGGACAGCTCAGTGGGAGACACACAGGGTCCGACAGTTGCAGGGGAGTCGGGGAAGGCTTCCAGAGGAAGGTCCCGGGGTGCCGGGCTGAGAGGCGGGGCATGCCAGGCAGTATTTGGAGTACCAGATGCTGCTTCCTCCATTGACTCACTCAGCCAACACCTGCTGTGTGCCAGCAGAACAGAAAGCCTATTTAAACACATGAGACCTTGTCAGAGTGACGAGGGTCACGTGATCAGGAGGGGCGGGTCAGCTGTCGGGGAAAGCCCCTCTGAGCACCTGGTAGCTGAGCGTGGGGTGCGGGTGAGGAGGCAGCAGCCACAGGGCTGGGTGGGGATGTTCGAGCACAGGAAACACTGACACATGCAGAAGTGAAGGGCCTCTGACCTGCCCCCTCCAGCGCCAGCTCGCCCATGTCTCCCGCCAGCTTCCTCACGCTCACGGCCTCGGAGTCTCCCTGGATGTCAGGAACTGCGTTCCGACGGCCCGTCCGGTCACAGGAGATGAAGTCCGAGTAGGAGGACTCGACCTCCATCATGCCCGTTGCATCGCTCTTCAGGCCTGTGGGGACGAGGACACAGGGGCAGCAGTGAAGGCCAGGTGCATCCTGCCAGGGAGACTCAGCTCTGGTCCCCAGCACGATGTGTTTTGACAAAATGACAGTCATTGCCTCGATCATTGAAGACAAAACAGAAAGCACAGAAAAGTGCCAAGAACAAAACATCACCTGTAATTTCATACCTAGAAAACCACCCCCGTTTCAAAGACTACCCTTTGTATTTTCTTTAAGTGACTGATAAATGTCTACACATGTATCAACATCATGTGCCAGGCACTGACTAAGGGCTGCAAATACTACAGGGCCGAACAGGCCAGCCCTGGTCCCTGCCCCCAGGGCGCTCACAGTCTAGGGGTGGCATCAAATTACCTGAATCACCTGCTACCTCAGTAGTTACCATGGTGCTCAGGACTTCCAGGAGAAGGCAGGGCGCCAGGGTGACTACCAGGGCCTGACCAAGGAAGTGGCATTTAACTGAGATCCAAGGAGGAGTAGGCATTATCGAGACAGGGAGTTGACAGGAAGAACATTACAAGCTGGGGAACAGCGTGTACGAAGGCTCTGAGTGGGATGGAAGAACTGAGGCTGGAGGACGATGGGGGAGGGGCAGTGACACGCAGTGTGCTGCTGGGCAGAGGCCAGATCGCATCTGAACTTGGTCTCTGAGGGGTTCAGTCCAGGTCATGAATGATCATATCTGCAGTTTCAGAGATAACGCTGGCATCTGGCTTGAGCAGGGCCCTGACGGGGGCAAGTTCTAAGTTTCCCGCAGAAGGTCTGGTGTGGAAAAGATAAACGGTGGGTGGAGGCAGGAGGTGGTAAGTGGTCAGATTTGAGGTGTAATTTGGAGGCTGAATCAACTCGGTTTTGACTGATGGGGAAATGAACTTTCTGATCTGAGTAAGTAGGTGGGTCGCAGTATAGTTTCCTGAGACGGGGGGCAGCCGAGGAGGAATATTTAGGACAGCGGGGTGAAGACTGAGTTAATTTTGAGAGGCCTGTGGGCCCTCCAAGGGGAGAGGTAGAGTAGGTTCATGAGATGGGGGGCTGGAGCTCAGAAGAGAGATGGGGCATGGCACAGGGAGGAAAGCGAGGAAATTAGGCGTTATTGCTGCAGAGGTGGTGGTTAACGGCCCTGGTGTTAACACAGCCTAGAGAGAGAAAAGCCAAATATATAAAAAAGAGCCACATACATTTAACAAGTTAAATGGGGCTCATACTATACATTGTATTCTGTAGGCTACTCTTTGGAACACGTTAGAAGGTGTCCTTACGGCTTCCTCTAGGTGATTTTTGTACAGGCATATTTGGGTGTACCATGATTTGACTGCTCCCCTAGAAATGAACATGGAGGTACCTTCCAATCTTCCACCATTATCATCAGTACTAGGTCTCCATGTAAGTCTGTGTCTAGCTCTATTCTTTCCTTATATTCCTAGAAGTAGAATTGCTGGGCTAACGGGAAGGATGAAAAAAACTTCTAAGACACACTGTTTTGACACAATCCACGGTGCCTTCACCAATAGCAGAGTGGTACGGTTGCCCCTTGAACGATGCAGGGGTTGGGGCGCTGACCACCCGTGCAGTCGCAAATCCTTGTATAACTTAAGTCAGCCTTCTGCGAACTAGGCTTTCCAGCTGCCAGCTGACCCTTGAACAATGCAGGTCTGAAGTGTGTGGGTCAACTGAAAAAAACCCATGTGTAAGTGGACCCGCGCAGTTCAAATGCGTGTTGTTCAAGGGTCCACCGTATTTCTAAAGACAAAAAGTGAGGGGAAAACCTTACAAATTCAGTCCTGTTCCTATTTGTATTCCCACTAGCAGCATGTAGGATTTATCTGCACCCTTACCAGCAACAGGTGTTGCTATGATATGGAAAGCCTTCATCTGGTGGGGGTGCTGTCTCTCTCATTGATGCCCTACGAGTTCCTGAAGGCAATCGGATCACACAGTCACCGCCTGGACTCTGGCTACTTGCAGACCCTGGGCTGTAAAATGGCAAGGGTGGTCTAAGCCACTGGCCTGCCCTCAGGAGCTCAGGGTCCTCCTAGGAGGGGTGGGCCCTGCAAATCCCAGCTCTAGACACATGCAGGCAAAAGCCAACGCTCTCTGTAGCATGAGGATGTTTCCTGCACAAGGTCAGCCATAGCAAGCTGTAGGGAGCCACCCAAATGCCCATCAGGGGGCTAGGCGTTATATTATAAAGGACTGTATTCACACAAAAGAAATATGCCAGACGGACCTGTACTGGCCTAGCAAGGTTTCTGAGGTAAACTGCTAACTGCAAAATGTAGGTCGCAGAACAACGCCTAAAATAAAACCCAGTTTCGGTACTATCTGTAACCCGGACTGCAAATGAAGAAAAGAAAAGAAAGAAAAGGAAGAAAGAAAGAACAAAAGAAAGAAAAAAACCCCACAACTTGTCAAGTGTGGTTCTTTATGACTAAGGTGAACCTTCACTTCTAAGACTATTTTTGTGAAGGTGGAAGTTTTCATAAGCTCCAGTTACTGTGTGTAATGTTTTCATAAGGTAACTGATGTTGGCAGGATGTGCCCAAAAGTGCTCCGGGTGGGGCTCAGTAAGTGCTTCCGGGGGTGTGTCTTAGTGACAGAGAGAGAGAGAAACTATGTGGGGGGGCCGCTGGCCAGTATAGAGGGCTGAACCCCCATCTCCACAACACCTCGTTCAGAAAAAACACCTAAGAATAAATTAGGGGCACTCAAAGATCAGGCAGGGGAGAGAGGGAGGTGTCCTGTAGTAGAAAGAAAAAAAAAAAAGAGAGAGTGACCCTGTGTCAATGAACCTGGCTCTGCCACCAGACATTGGGCCACACTCTCTGCCCCCCCCC